TGGTGTGAATGGAGACTCTGGTGTGAATGGAGACACCGTGGTGTGAATGGACAGAGTTGGTGTGAAGGGAGACACCACGGTGTGAGGGGCATCCCGTCCCCACCCGTCCAGGGCCCAGCCTCACCGGAGCTCCTGCTGGGCGTTGGTGGAGTCCAGCGTGTCCTCCAGCTCTCCCCTCAGCGCCTCCAGTTCCTCGCCCAGGTCCCGGCGCTGCTTCTCGGCCTTGGCCCTGGCCACACGCTCAGCCTCCAAGTCCTCCTGGGCCTCGGCCATTCCCGCCTGAGCTTCTCGCAGGGATTTCAGCAGCTGGGCCCGCGCCCCGCTTTCTTCCTCTGCCCTGGGGGTTGACAGGGACAAGAGGTTAGTGACTCCTAGAGAAAGTCCAGGGATGTCTAATCCAGGGTTCAAATCCCGGCTCTGTTCTTGGACAAGTGACACCACCACAAAGAGCCTCAGTTTTCTCAGCTGTAAAATGGGAACAGACACAATGAATACAACTGACATTACCCAAGTTCCTGCCATACACAAAACATCAAATACATCAAAACAGGGAAACTGAGGCATCTACCCTCTAAAAGCACCCACTGCTCTTGAGTCGATTCTGAGTCATCCCTGCCTTACAAACTGCCCCAAGGGGATTCTGAAGCTGGAGGGATGGCAAAGGAGAGGAAGGAGAGGAAGACCGTCAAACAGGTAGACTGATGCAGACTGCAGCAATGGGTTTACGTGTGTCAGAGATTTGTGAGGATGGCACAGGACAGGACAGGGCTCAGATCTGTTGCTCACGGGGTCAGTGCAAGGGTAGTCAACTTAACAGCATTTAACAAGACAATAAGCAGCTTCCTGGGTGGCAAAGTGCTCAGCGTTAATCCATAGGTTGGCAGTTTGAATCCACCCAACGACACTGCAGGAGAATGGTTCGTAATCTACTTCTCCTGTAAGGACTGAACCCAATCCACAGCCATTGAGTGTATTCCAACTCATGCTGGCCCTTTCTCAAATCAGATTCCCACAGCTGTAAATGGGAAGGAGACTGTTCAATTTTTTTTATTATTAAATTTTATTAATTTTAATGAACATTTACAGAGATTTTGGGTTTTCATTCATTCATTCATTGTTGCACTGGAGACTGTTCAATTTTATCTCACAGAACATACGATGGATGATGGATACGAACCACTGACCTTTTGATTAGCAATGCATTATGCACTCTACTACGCTAGAAAAATGACACCCTGCAACAGCTAAACGCAACAACAATATAAAGGTAAACAACCCCATTAAAAATGGGAACAGGATATGAACAGACACTTCACCAAAGAAGACATTCAGATGGCAAACAAACACATTAAGAAATGTTCAAAATCCCTAGCTCTCAGAGAGATGCAAATCAAAACAGCTATTAGATATCATCTCACCCCAGTAAGAATAGCAAAATTTAACAGAACTGCAAACAACAAATGCTGGCGAGGTTGCAGAGAAACTGGAAACTTAAATTCACTGTTGGTGGGAGTGTAAAACAGTACAGCCACTGTGGAAGGCAGTGTGGTGCTTTCTCAAAAAGCTGCAAACAGAAATACCATTTGACCCAACAATTTCACTACTGGGAATATATCACAAAGAGACCATAACTGCCATCCAAGCATATGTACACCTATGTTTATTTCATCTTTGTTCACAATAGCAGAGTTGGAAACAACCCAAGTGCCTATCAACAAACCAATGGATAGAGAAGCTCTGATATATTCACACAATGGAATACTATGCTGCATTGATAAACAAGGAACTCATGCAACATTATTCAAAATGGGTGACCCTGGAGGACATTATGCTGAGTGAAATATCTCAGTCACAAAAGGACAAATACTGCATGGTGCCACTGTTGTAAAATGAGATTGACATTGGGGTTGGGGGGAGATTGAGGAAGATGGGATAAATTATGTACACTGCATTGAAACAGATGAGGGAGAGAACAGTTTAAAAGGGATATATGATTGTGTATTATTGTCATGACAGGAGTCCAGAATGAAGGCTGCACAGTGGAGTGGACTTGGAGGGAGGGATTGTATAACAATGAAATAATCTTTCTTTTACTTTTCAAAGAGAAGAGTGATTTGGGGTGGGGGAAGGGGTGGGCAGGGAGAAAAGTGCAACAATGAATGGATGGAAATCCAAGGTCTCTGTAAACTTTCATTAAAATTAATTTAAAAACAAAGAAAAAGAATGGCCACACTGGGGAGCAGTTAATGAAAACACCCAGCATTTATGGTGTGCTTAAAGTGTGCCTGGTAGTGCGGTGAGTAAAGCAGCTAGCTGCTAACCTAAAGGTCAGTGGTTCTAACCCACTCCTTGGATGAAAGATGAAGCAGTTTGCTTTCTACAGACTACAGCTGGGAAATGTGAGGGGCAGGTCCCTCCGCCCTTGGAGGGTATGATGTGTTGGAATCAATGAGGTGTTGGAATCGATGACGGCAATGGGAATGTTACGGGGCTGTTCTGAGCGGGAAGGACAGCAAGGGGAGGAGTAGGAGGATTTTCTGGCCCGTTATCTGCTGGACGCTGGGCGAACAACTGCACACACAGAACCTTCCTGCTCTGCCCCCTCAGCCTGAGGCTCCGAGGGGGACACGGAGGCTCAGGGGGACGTGCGCTTTGAGTCAGGCTGCCAGGTGGGCTCAGCTGGGGTTTGTGCAACAAGAGGGTGTGTGGCTGGGAGGCCTTGTACCAGCAGGCAAGGAGCCTGGACTGCTTAGTCCATGGGCTGTGTCCGTCCACTGCCCACTTCAACCCCTGGGACTATGGACCCTCACCGCCCACATTGGGGACCGGACCATGCACCTTCACCCTGGTGGACCGTGCACATTCACCCTGGGGACTGTGCACACTCAAACTGGTGGACTGTGCATACTCACCCTGGGGGACCATGCACCCCCCCCCCCACCCTGGAGGTCCATGCACCGTCACCCTGGGGACCGTGCACCCCCCCTCCCCGGGGGGGACCATGCACCCTCACCCTGGGGACCGTGCACCCCCCCCGGGGGGACCACGCACCCCCCCCCACCCTGGGGGGTCTGTGCACCTGCATCACCCACTCCGGAGGACTGGGCGCCCAGAGTGCCCACCCCAGAAGACTGCTGGGGGACTGTGAGGCTAGCTGCACTGCCCGCCCTGGAACACCCTGTGTCACACTCTCCACCCTGCAGGACCAGGCCTACACTGCTCACCCCGTGAACCATGCACCACGCTGCTGACTGCGCCAAGCAACGTCCCATGACCCACGCGTCCACACTGCCCACCTCTGCGGGCTGTGTCACCACACTCTCTGCCTCCTGAGCTGTGCGCTGTACCGGCCATATGCCCACTCCGCGCACCCTGCCGGGGCTCCTCCCCTGCACACGGGGCCCCGCCCCCTGCACCTGGCCAGGGCCGCCTGCAGCTCCTCCTCCTTGCGCCCCAGCTGGGCCCGCAGCTCCTCCGCCCGCTGCTGCTGCTCCACCATCTGCTCCTGCAGCTCCGAGCTCTCGCCGTCCAGCCGCCGCTTGAGCTTCTCCAGTTCCTGGCGGCCCTTCTCCTCCTTGCGCAGGCGGTCTGCGGCCGGAGCAGGGGCCCGCACGTGAGGGTCTCCGCGCCTGCCATCCTCCCCTAACCCGCTTCCCCCTGCGTCCCTTCCAACGCGGGGCTGGCCCCCTGGACCGTCCTCTCCTGTTTCCCATTCCCCCCAAGCTAGCTGCTCCCCGACTTCCCGCCTGTCCCCTCTGCTGTCAGCTCTGCCTCCTCCCCAGCTGCCACCCTGTTCCCTCTGGTTCCCTCTGGCTCATTCTGCTTTTGCATCCACAGCAAAGGGCAAAGGGACCAAATGGTCCGAAGTAGCCAGCAAAGGCCACCCACTGCGGAGGGGACAATCGTGATTTATAACGATCCTGCAGGACAGGGTGGAATTGCCCCCGTGGGGTTTTCAAGGTTGTAAATCTTTATGGGAACAGACAGCTTCGTCTTTCTCCCATGGAGCAGCTGGTGGGTTTGAAAGGCTGACCTTTTGGTTAGTAGTAGAATGTTTTAACTACTGAGCCACCAGGGCATCTTGTTAGCAGGAGAGTCAGATGAAGAGAGAGAGAGAGAGACAGAGAGACAGGCAGAGAGACAGAGACAGAGAGAGAGTGAGAGAAACAGAGAGAGATGGAGAGAGAGACAGAGACACCGACGGAGAGAGATAGAGAGAGGGAGAGACAAGAGACAGAGAGAGAGAGTCAGAAACAGAGAGAGAACATCAAAGGAAAGAAAACTAGGTTCAGAGAGAGAAGTCACTGCGACCTTTTCCAAGCCTGCCTTCCTGTTCCCGTTCAACAGGTGAGAGCATGAGACCCCTGCCAGGCCCCCACTGGGCAGGCGGGCGCTCACCTTCCATGTCTGCGATGGTGGCCTCGTACTTGAGCCGCAGCTTGTTGAGGCTCTTCACCTTCTCTTCCTCCTCGGCCGCCTGAGATGAGAACTCGGCCAGACGGTCCTCCAGCAGCTTCCGCTCCTGTGAGGTGGAGAAGTGGGGGCCGGGGGCCGGGTCAGGAGGCCTGATTTGCCATTTGCTCCTCTGTGGATTCCCTGCTCATCTTCTTTGTCCATCTACGTCCTGGCTAGTTACCTTTTGCTTATTGATTTCAAGGTGCTCTTTCTATAGGGCGGACCATCGTGATTGGTGCCATTATACACACATACACACACACGTACACACACATACATACACACACACAAAAATAATGGGTTCATACAATTACGTTCCTAAGATTTCCTCGATGATAACCTGCCTCAAAGAATTTTTTTTCCTGCCTGCAAAAGCTCCATAATGAATAAAGAAGATGCAAGAAGGACTGAAGCCTTTGCATTACGGTGTTATTGGAGAATACTGCATACACCATAGGTTGCCAGGGAACAAACAAATCTGTCTGGAAAGAAGTGTAGCCAGAGTGCTCCTTAGAGGCTAAGAGGCGGAGACTCCACGAGGCATCCTCTGTGCATGCTGTCAGGACGGGTCAGTCCCCAGAGAAGGACGTCATGGCTGGTAAAACAGGAGGCTGAGGGACAAGGAGGGAAGACCCCAAGTGCCATGGACTGACTCCCTGGCTCTGACACAGCACAGATGGGGAGGGTGGTGCATAGTTGGGTAATATTTTATTCTGTAGTATACAGGGTCTCAAAGAGTTGGGGTCAGCGTGATGGCCCCTGGCAACAACAACAACAACAACAACAACAACAGCAACAGCAACGCCTTTTCTCTACTGAAAGCTCCCTCATTGACAAACTCTGATACCTCATCACCAGGCTAACATCTTCCGGCCCCCGGCCCCCTCGGGCTGATGTCGTCCAGCCTCCCACCTTAGGCCCACATCTCCCATCTTCCCACCTTAGGCTAACATCTCTCCACCTCGGGCTAACACCTTTTGTCTCCCCATCTCACGAGGCCGTCCTTCAGCTCCTCCACATGTCTTGCTCCCTTCTCTCTTCCTGCCCAAAGAACCAAAGGAATGTTCTAGAAAACTTCCCTATGCTTCTGTGAGCTGTCAACTCAGTGGATCACCACCTCACACAAGCTTCTTTTATTGACCTCCCTCAAAACAGGTCAGGTGTCTTTCCCCAAGGTTTCTGTTATGATGTTGTTGTTGTTGCTATGTGCCGTCGAGTCGCTTGCTACTCATAGCGACCCTATGTACAACAGCCCTAAACTCTGCTCTGTCCTGTGCCAATCGTACTATCTCTGACACTCCCATCCCGATTACCCCAGTCACTGAATCAATCCACCTCATAGAGGGCCTTCCCCTCCTGCGCCGTCCCTCCAACCTCCCAAGCATGAAGTCCTTCTCCAAGGACCGGTCTCTCCTCACAACATGTCCAAAGTATGTTAGACGGAGCCTCAGAATCCTTGCCTCCAAGGAGCCACCTGGTTTAACCCTCTCCAGGAAAAATCTGTTTGTTTTCCTAGCAGTCCATGGTATTCTCAATACTCTTCTCCAGCGCCACAGCTCAAAGACATCAATTCTCCTTCTATCCTCCTTGGAACCCCAAACCACAGCACAGAGTGGGACCAGCCTGTGGGGATCCCAAGGCTGACTGCCTCTTCCTCCCCCTGTGGGGTGGCTGGTGGACATGAACCTTTGACCTTTTGGTTAGCACCATAGCACCACCAGGGCTCCTGAACTATAGACACATTTACTTTATAAAAGAAATGCACTTCAAATGTGTGACAGAAGCCAGTTAGAAAAAAAACAACACCGTCACCTCTAAGCCTTAATCCCTTTAACCCAGAACAAAATTAGGAGCCACCCTCAGGGGCTCAACTTGCAGCCAAACAGCAGACAACAGAACTACAAGGTAAACAACAATGCCAAGGAGGCACTGCTGAAAAACCAACCACATAAGATCAAAAAAAGGCTGGCATGTGCCCAGGGTTGGAGCTCAGGAGGCAGCAAAGGGGGAAGCAGGATTAATGGAAATGAGAATCACAGGGAGGAGATAGGAAGAATGCAGTTACATTGTATTTACATAAAATAGAACATGTATGAAGGGTAGAACAAAAGCGAATTATCTTTGTAAACGCCCACTCATTTCACAAAGCAAAGAAAAAAGAGACTACACAATATGAAACGTCCCTTATGTATGAAATGTCCAGAATATGTTCTAAACAGGATGGCAGTTTTTAAGGTAAGAGTGAAGGAAGCTGACAGACGCATGATAGAAAAGGGAACACGGCTTCTTAGTGAGCTGAGAGAAACATTCTGGAAGGGAGGTCTGGTGGCCTAGTGGCAAGAAGATGCACTGCAATCCCGAAGAGGAGCAGTTCAAATCCACCAGATGCTCCACTGGAGAAGGAGGGGCAATCTCCACCTGTGCCAGTCGGATCTGATTGGACGGTACACAAAAACAACAACAAAGAAAGTAAAGGAACATTCTGGATCCACTATATAGCTACGGTTACACGCAAGATCTATAAATTATTGTTGTGTACCATCAACGAGTGGCATCCACTTCCTAAACTACGTGCCTCCGGAAACTCTATAAACTTTGATAAATGTTGATGGTTGTGGAGGGGTTTGTGCATAGGGTTGCTATGAGTCGTGCTCGACTCGAAGGAAATCAACAACAACCGCCATCGAGTCAGAACTGACCCACTACTGACCCTCAAGTGAGTTTTCAGAGGCAGTTAATCGCATGAATGACCATCTTTCTCGAATGGAGCAGCTGGTGGATTCGACCACATGCCTTCATGACTATAGCATAGATCTTACCACTAGACCACCAGAGAGCTCCCTTCAACTATAAATAAATATACTAACGCCACTGAACACGTACTTTCAGTGGGTGAAATGTATAGTATGTGAATTACATCTCAATAAAACTGCTAGGAAAAAAATAAACAACAACAAGAAGAACAAATCCTCACCCAAAATGCAACCCAGACACTATGCCTGCACTCACTCACCCTCTGGCTTAAGTTTCAATCATACAATAGACAGTCCTATAAAGTGAACGGTACCAGTAGGAAGGAAAACACTCTTCAAGAATAATCAAACATATGAGATCAAAATAGCAGCATTGATCCAGGGATGAGGCTTAGAGAGCAGGAAGAAACAGTAAAAAGACAAGTGGAAATGAGAAACACAGGGAGGGATTGGGAAGTATGGTGTTACAATATGAAGAGGAGAATGGGTGTCATGAAATAGAATTGTATTCATTATCAGAAAACCAATTTGCTCTGTAAACAAACATTCATTCAAAGGAGACACACACGTACATATAAGATGCTCAATTGATGGAATCTGATTATAGCAACACACCACCAATGCACCCATTCCCACAGCTGGCTACCTACAAGCCACGGACCTTGCTCAGTTTGGCGTTCTGATCTTCCAAAAGCAGCAGGCCCTCCTCAAACTTCTTTAGCTTTGCCTCCGTCGTCACCTTCTCCAGCTGCAGCTTCTGCCGTGCCCCTTCCTCAGCCTCTAGGTGGGTCTCCAGTTCCTGGAGTCGGGAGGACGGTGGGGTGAGGAGCCAGGGGGCAAGGAGGCAGAGGGGTTGGGGAGGTGAGGCTGTGGGTTAGAGAGTGGAGGTCTGTGCTTGCCGAAAAGAGAACCAAGGTTCAGTGAGGCAATATGACTTGTTTATAAATACTCTGCAAGAGTGTGTGTATGTGTGTGTGTGTGTGTGTGTGTGTGTGTGTGTGTGTGTAAAACTTAATATAGGCACTCTTCTCTACTGGCATTTTGTTCATAAGACATAAGCTCACGCCAGCCAAAGGGAAAATCCAGGGAAAACAATGGCACAGAGGTAAATGAACGTGGGAGATGGGGAGGCAGAGAACCAATTAAGCAATCACTTGGGCACCTTGATCCAGCCATTCCTGAAGCTTGCCCACGTGCAACATTCCCATTAACTGAATCCTAACTTTCATTTTTGTTTAAACTACCCTGAGTTTCTTGCAGATAAATTCATGAACACATGGGACCTGGTTGGGCAGAAGGTGAGACAGACAAAGGTGGGCGTGAAGGTGCAGGGGCAAGACCTGTATGTGCTGCTGCAGCCTCTTCTTCTCCATCTGCAGCTGGCGGCTGCACTCCTCCTCCTCGCCCACACGGGCCTCCAGCTCGGACACCACCAGCTCCAGCTCCTGTTTGCGGGCAGCCAGCCGCCCTCGGGTCTCCTCTGCCTCGGCGCACAGCTCTGCCTCAGCCCGCAGCTGCTCTGCCAGGCGGCTCCGTTCCTCCTCCACCTACGGATGCGGGTCAGGGGTCACAGGTCAGAGGTCTCTACAGCCGTCTCTGCTCTTGCCCAGCTCCTGTGTTGTTGTTGTGAGATGCCACCAAGTCAAGTAGAACCCATAGCAATGCTATGATCAAGAGATCGGAACCCTGTCCTATCCTGTGCCATCCTCACACTTCCTGACACATCAGAGTCCAGTGTGGCAGTCGCTGTGTCAAACCCTGGTTGAGGGTACATTGACACAGTGACCAGCTCCTATATACCTTGTATATATACCATCTTCTTCCTTCCCCCACATATCCAGCACATCTAGGCTTCATCCAGACCCCTCCCCACCCCTTCACACTCGTCTCATCCAAACCCCAGTCTCAGTCTCATACACTGGCTGGATCCACCCAGGTACCCCTCCATACTGGTTCCACCCAGATCCTGTCCTACATCACCACACAGACTCCACCCAGACACACCCACATACACATTGGCCACACCCAGGCCCAGCCCCTCACACTGGCTCCACCCAGACCCCACCCCATCCCACACTGGCCCCATCCAAGCCCATTTATTACATGACTCCACCCAGGCCCCGCCCTATTTCACACATTGGCTATGCCCAGGCTCCACCCCTCACACTGCCTGCTCAAGTCCTTTCCCAGCACTGGCTCCACCCAGGCTCTACCCAAGCCCTCACACCTGCCCCGCCCAGGTGCCGCCCATCTCACGATGCCCCCACCCCATCTCACACTGGCTCCACCCAGCCCTCACACTGGCCCCGCCC